AATAATAACAATAATAGTAACTCAATAATACTAATAATTCAAAAAAGGCCTTTGCAGCTGGGAATACTGTCATTCTTTGGAATGTTTGAGTTGTTAGATTTAGGTGTTGGGAGGGAAGTTTGTGATCTGTAATATGTAAGTTCCTTCCCTGGCTCAGTTTTGCTGGTCTTGAAGAGGGAAGAGGGCACTGCTCCAAGCAGCATGCTACTTTCCTTGCTGCAGCTTCTCTTTGTGAGACCGAGTAAGAGAGATCTTGTTTGGCCTTCCTTGGAATGGTGGGACTAGGTGATCTTAAAAGTCTCATCCAACCTTGATGATTCTATGATAACAGTATTTCAAACTCTATTACTGTTCCTCGCTAACAAAGAAATGTACAAGTTTTAGCCTCTCATTTTTGAAAGATGTTCTCTCTAGCACTGTGTATATTAAAATAGTGACTCTTGTTATTCTCGGAACTAAATCCAATTTTGTTTGTGTTCTTTGAGATGGACATAAAATATTGAAGGTGTATTTAGACTTCTGAATCACGTACCTTGATGTTCAGTGAATCAGGTTTAATGCTGGAGGAAGGCTTTCCAAGTGAGAGATGGGGAGGGAGCACCGTGCATGTTGGTCAGGATTGCCATTCTGTTGCCAAACTATAATAACCCTTTGAGGAACTCAGAGTTGAAGCTGCTGAATGAAATGCAATAATTTTCCATAACACTTTAAAAGACCTGAAGACATGCTAAAGTTTTATCTGGGTGTTTTGGATGACACTCTGCAGTATGACCCTAATGCTTCCTTTAGATCTTGGCAATTATATACTACGTTTAATGTCTGTTCTACAGACTGGTGCTGTGTAGAGCTTAAATGTTGAGGTTTTTTATTGCAAAAAAGGTAAGGAATTGTGGTGGTAGGTGATTAAGAGGAACTGATGAAAGACTGTCCTGGGGAATTTTAAATGCCGTGTAAAAGTTCTAACCGGCATCAATCAGCTTTGTGTCTGAGACTCCAGTCATTGAAGCTCCCATCGTAGCTTCGACATCTGTGTATGAGTATGTCTTGTGCTCTGTTTTGGTGTTTATACTTGGTGTCTCTACAACACTTAGAGTAAAAGAAAGAATTTTGATAATTTATTTGTTTTAATTAGTAATTGTCCATAACTTATCTGACTTGGTAATTAAATGTTGTGCTAAATGTGCTAATGATGTCAGAGGTCTACAACATTGCCTGCCACATAAGGAAACAAGTTATGTGGTCCCAGTGACCTCATCATGACAAGAACTGCTTCTTTAGTTCTTCTGCTTCCCTTCTAAATTAACTTAAAATAAATATTTAAGTATTAATTTTAAAATGGGCATCTCCTCTTTATGACTTTGAACTTTTATTCAAAATTTAGCATGACATTGGGAAATTACAGTCTGAGTGAGTCTGCAATCAGCTAAACTATGTACAGAAATGGGATGAGCATGACTATATAAAAGCTGACATGTCACTCTGTTGATTAGTGTACACCCTCCTGTGTAATTCAGCCAGGAGCCTGTAACATTGGAGAGATCACCAAAAAGGTCATGGGAGATCCCAATGCTCAGTGACACAGATGAGCATTCTGAGTTTTTATACTTTGAAAACTATTAGACAGAAACTTGAACTGGTGGCACGCACCAGTGATTTTTTTTTTTACATTTTCTGCAGTATATGCAGGCCATTTCACATTACCATTGCAATACAAGGTGTAACAGTACATACTACAGCTGTTCTGACATCCTTTTATTGAATGTGTGCGTAGTTCAGTAGCTTTGTAAATACAGCTCTATGAAAATTCCTCCATTTAGCTGGAGTAAAGCTATCTGATAGACCATAGCTATGAACACAAAGGGCAAAAATTCCTTGTACATGAAGGCAAGTGGGTTTGTAACATGTCAAAAAATAAATTTAGCTTTATTCAGTTTAAAATTTTAATCTGATTTTTCAAATTAGTTGCTATGCATTCAGGTCACCCCCCACCAGAGACACAGCTTTTATGTTATAGGAAACAGAGAAGAAGAAAAAAAGGAAATATATCCAAGTTTGTGCCACAGTGGTTGATTTAAATCTGAAGATTTGAATGGGAAAGCTTGCTAGTATTTTAGCTACAGTGATCTTTGTAAGGAAGGAGCTGAGCAGATACAGTAACTAACAGTTTGGATTTTTTTATTAAAATGGTTTTCTCAATAATTGTAAGTATTTCTCTCAAGTTGGGGGTGAGGGGTGTTTTCTAAAGGAAAAAAAAAAGGAGGGAATTTATAATGGGACAAGTTAAGATCTTGTAAAGCCAACTGCAAGTCTTTTGTTTGACTTGTCACTGCTGACTTACTCTACTTAAGCATTAACACTAATATTTGTTTCTGTGTTCTGCAAATATGTTTGTATTTTTTCTTTCTGCTTGTTGTCTGATCAAGGTAGAGAACATTTATAGACAGGTCTTTAAGATAGCTGTTATTCTGGCTTCTTTTAGATGTGTATTAATTCACTGATGAAATAAATTCAAAGACATGAGCCTGAGGGTGTTGTTTCCTAAGACTTCCTGGGAGATACTATTAGTTTTTAAAATTAATGGTTGCAGAAAATAAATAGGTGTTTTGTATAATGCCAAATTCAAAAAGTTCAGGTTCTTAAATCTGGAAGACTTTATTTAATTTTATTTATTTTTTCCAGAAAATCCTGCAAAATGTCCACTAGTCATTATTTTGTCAGGCTAATCACTGTTAAAGTATCTCCATAATGCGGTACTATTAAGCAGCTTCTGTTTTTTTAATCTTTTCATTCTTTGCCTGGAGAGGCAATAGGTAACCCAGAGATCTGCTTTTTTAAGTTTTATTGAATCCGTTGACTTCCATAGGAAGTAGATCAGTACTTCCTCATGCTACAGCACAGATTAAATCTTTGAGGAGTTTAGCTTGGTATAGTAACAAAGTATTGTGCAAAGAAGGGGTTATTTGTTGGTTTTGGTTTTGTTGCAGTGTTGTTGTTTTTTTTAAGATGATGATGGATTTTGGAAACTCCAAAAAAATTCAAAATTATTTCATCTTTTATGGTGAACAGTGTCTGTCAGATTTCCCAAGGGGGAATTTAGAGATATTAGCAGTTAGTGGCCCTTTAAGGTCTTGAAACGCATAGATGAAAGGGGAGATATGCTTCCACATAGAGTCTTTATACTGCTAAAGAATTCCTGTGTGTATTTGTTAATAATTATTTTTTAAATTGCAATTCAGTTTAGTGTTAATAAAATTCAAAGTTTATAAAATGTCTAGAAAATTGTTGTTGCATGTAACGAACTTGTGTTGGTTAGTCAATCAAATATTTTAAAACCTGAGTGCTTCTTATGACTTAAAAAGATGAGCTGTGTGGAAATGCAGAGATCTAAACAGTCATAAATTTAATAAACTATTCTGTTATGAAACTTTGGTTTTTCTGAGAATGTAAAAATATCAGTTTCTTTTTAACCACTTAGCATTTGAAAATGTAATAAAAATAGAAGAGATTTTGCTTAAATGGAAGGCTTTGTAGCTTTGTCTTTTAGTCTAAATTGAGATTGACATAGGTCAAGAAATGGAAGAACCTTTTTTGAAAATCTCAAAAATAGAATTATAAAAGATAGGCTGCCATTCACAAACTTGAATTATGGTTCTGTTGTAAATTAAATACTCTCTAAAAGTCTTTAAAAAGAGTAAAACTATTTAGTTTGGTTGATATTAAATGTTTAAGTAGGAGAAGAGTTGCGAAGAACCCTTGGTTTTGCTGAAAAGAGTGTGAATGGAGTTTGCTGTCACTGTGATACTGCTTTAAACTGTCAATTTAATCTGCATCACAAAGGACTTGACTCAGTACTTTGTAAAATAATCAGTTGTGGTATTTAAGTACTTGAAGTTGAATGAAGCACCGAGGAGAAATTTCTCCTTGAGACAAAGGAGGGAACCCTAGTATATAAGGCTAAACAAGAAATATCAAGGCCTCAGTTAACAGGTGCACTTGCAAAGTATTAAAATAATCTGAACTGATCTTCATTTGGATGCTTTGTCGGCTGTTTCAAGAGACAAACTGTATTCTTGATTTTATTTTAGTACTGCTCTTTAAAAAACAAAAGCAAAATTTCCAGACTATTTCTTTCTGTCAGAAATGCAGATATTTTGGTTAAGGGTGCAGGAAATGAAACTGAGAAGCCTTGCTTTGAAAAGTAAGTGGAATGAAATATTAAAGAAAAATTAATAGCGATAGAAATAAGATCCTTATTGTAATATTCCTTAAATAGTTGAGGGTAAGGAAAAAGTATTTCTCTTACAAATCAGATATTTTCTTGCTTTCTAGCACAACTTATATAGCATATACTGGCTTAGAGAAGCCTTCCTGCACATCACCTCTAATGTCTTTACAGCTTGCTGTGAAGTTATGTTTACATGTTCTTTGGTGAGAACAATTTTCTTAGAATGGAAATTACAATTAAAAAAAGTTACAGAAGTCTAAATGTATAAAAAGAAGAATAAGAACCCAAGCATTAAAAACACACGTTTCTGGCAAGCAGAAGAAAGTCAGATTTGCCACCCAAGCATGCATCCTTCTCAGAAAAAGGCTAAACAGCTTGCCTACAGATAGCCATTAGGCAAGTAATACATTCCTAAGGCTGAAAAACTACTTTTTTTTCCTGGTCAGTTCTCAGACTGCTTTTGATCTTCCGTTTGTATACAATTGAGTAGTACTGTGTTCTTGGTCACAACAATTTCTGTGCAAGTGTTTGAGATCAGGGTAGCTTGTGCATGGAACTCCAGGAGGTCTTGCAGATGTGCACAAAAGTGCTTGTCACCCTTTGTCAGATCTTCCTTTCCTTCTCTTCCCAACAGTTAGGGAGCAATCACAGCAATTAGAGAACATTGTAACACAGCAGTGGTTGTCTTTCTAATTTTGTTGTAGGTGAATGTAAGCTGAATGTAGAGAAGACTTCCAAATACGCTGGACTGATGTGCACAGAGAAGGAATGAAGTATGGATGTGAAGGAACGTAGGCCTTATTGCTCCCTGACAAAGAGCAGACGGGACAAGGAACGGCGCTATACAAATTCTTCTGCAGAAAATGAGGAGTGCAGAGTGCCTACACAGAAGTCTTACAGCTCCAGTGAAACCTTGAAAGCTTTTGATCATGATTCCTCTAGGTTGCTGTATGGAAACCGGGTAAAAGATTTGGTCCACAGAGAAGCAGATGAGTATACCAGACAAGGTAGGCAAGATGTTTTAATTCAGTGTATAATTCATTAGTTTCAAGCGTTCTTGCTGCAGGAAGAGTATGTTATTATACCAGTTTCCTCAGTTTTGGTAATACTTTACAGACATAACACACTTCACTTTTATCTCCCTAAATGTTTTACAAAGATGGGGAAGCATTTTGTACAGTCTTTGAAATAAATAATACATGATCCATAGGAAGGAAATGGCCCGTGTTGGGCAATGAGTCAGTGACAATATTGCAGACTGAAGTGTGAAGAATTCAGGCCTTACAATTTAAAACCTAGACCCCCAGTAATTCAGCTAATGAACAGATTGCCCAAAATTTTGCCACTCCAGTATACCTAAAATGTAAATAACTTAAAAATTAATAAATAATAAACAAATACAATTGTTCCAAGAAGGCCAAGGCCTATGAATAGGTTTGTGGAAACAGTATGTGTGGATGAGCATACATATAATGGATTAGCTCCGTGCCTTTATCTTTTAGCTCACAAGAGCACTATACAGTGAGTAAGGCAAATTAATTCACAATTTGTGCATTTGAGTGTGTTGGGGGATATTTTTAGCAGATATTTTTGATATCTAACCACATGTTAAGAGGTTTCTAAAGCTAGCTTTTGAGGTTTTGAGTCCAGGACTGGCAAGTCATGAGAAGTCTAAGTATCCTTGGAGATGCTCAAAACTTGACTGGATATGGTCCGGGGCATCTTGCTGCAGCTGACTGTAATTGAGCAGAGGGTTGGGACTAGATGATCTCAAGAGGTCCCTTTGAACCTCATTGATTCTGAGACATTGAACTTGGCTCTAGTTAGGGTTAATCACTTATACATCACTTTCAAATTCAAAACTGTAGTCTCTGGAATTGACATTTCTACGTTTCCACAACTAAGCTGCTTAATATAAGGAGGAGGAAAAAAAATTTCTGAAATGTGTAGAGTACTGCAGCCCAACTATCTAAAGGGATAAAGCTAGGCCAAGAGCTGTGTGAACCTACGCCTCAGTCTTTTGTTTACAGCTATCGTCTCTTTTATGTGGAAACAAGAATAGATTTAGGGATGGAAAAAGAAATCTTCCTCCTTGTGAGGAAGTCTTTAGCTTTAATTTTAGAATGTTTAAAGTGATTTTTCCCATTGGTGTTTTTTCTTTGTTCCATGTAGAATAACTTTACATTACAATTAAGTGCTGGGCAGATGGTGTTGACTTTTTTGCCTACAAATGTTTGCAAGGGAAATAAAAATATTTCTCTTAGCTCATGTAACTGAGGCTTGCTGCTACTGTAGTCTGCTTTCTGATGTTTTCTTTTGGATTCTCTGATGTGATAAAACTTCAGGCCACTACTACTTTCTAGTTTTTAAATCACTAGTTATATCAATCTCATTCCTGTAAAATCAAGAGGAACCTTTCTAAGACCTGTATTATAGACACTTTCTTAGTAGTAGTGACAAAATTATATCAAAATGGGCACCACTTATTTAATGAATTCATAAACTATTGCCTGAATAGGGTACTATTCTTTTTTTAAATAGCAATAACAAAATGGATGAAGATATGTAGTCTGGCATGTCACATATGATGGTGCACTGGGGCTTGGGTTTCTTTTCCTCTTCACTTTCTTCAGAAAAGCACATAGTATTTAGCCAATACTTATTGCCCAATATGCAATAAATTGCATGTCTATGGGCCTAAAATGGCAGTCTGGGATGTATAATGTCCTCTTCACCTTTCAGTGGTCTCAGCACTGTCATCTGTGCCTGTTTGATTTCCCTCATTGTCCTTTCAATTCTTTTTGTATGGCTTATTGGCTTCCTGTAATGCATGCTGGTTTGGCACCCTTGGGGACTACCTGCAGGTTTGATAGGGTCAGGTAATAAAGGGCTTGTTTTGCAGTCTTAGATAGTGTATTCCTTTTGATTCATCTTTGACTGAGAATTTACAGCTTCTGGCATTGGAAGTATTTTGTGGAAAAGGTCTTCGAGGTCATTTCAAAGGTTTTTAAATAATATATAAAACATGCTTCCCTGTGGTGTGTTTTTCTCCCCCTATGTCTAGAAATAGTGTGTAGATATGTGGTTTTGTTGATAGGATAATTGACAGCCTGCTAGATCAACAGGAAATAAATCTATAACCAAAAAAGACAAACTTTAATAAATACCTTTAATTGGAAATCAATTTTAAAAATTAATCATGATCAGTGTTTCCCTTTTTTTGCCCAGACTCTAAAATAATGATATGAAATTTCCAGTGTTCACTGTAAGGCTACTGGAGCAGTTACACAAGTTTCTCAAGTGTCTCAAATGTGGTACTATTAAGAATGTTTATGGCTCTTCTATAACTGATAATTTAGGGTAAATCTCTTCAAAGCTTTCTGCTAATGAATCAAAACTTTCCCACCTCCTCTTCCTGAGTTGTCTCAGTACACGTCTTTGCGCTTCCTGCTTCCCAAAATCCAGTGGTAGGAATAGGCATGCTTCATTTAGTGCTACCTTTATCCCATGAGATCTTTACTTATGGAAAGAAGGTTTTCCAATTGTCAGTTTCAGTCACAAAATCTTTTTCCTCATCTGTTGAATTTCTATTGCATAAATAGAAATAAGAGCCTAAAAATATGTTTGTCATTATAATTCTGAGAACAGCATTGAAAACATATTGTAAAATATTTGAACATTAAAACACTCTACAACTGGGGTTATCTTGTTACTTTTAAAACAATTGACAAGACTGGAAGAGCAGGTCTGCTTCTTTAGGGAATTGTAACTACACCTATGCAACATGATTTCAGTTCACATCAAGAGAGATAAAACCTACTGCAGTCTCCTTCCCTTCTGCTCAAGACCCTTCATCTATTGCAAAACTGGTTTTGTTTTAAAAACTTTAGATGAGGATAATCTAGCCTGCTATTTTTAGAACTTCTAAAGCAGTTAATTTATTTTCACTATGTTTATAAACCCCATATAAGAGTAAAAAAAAATTGGGAAGCCTGTGGGTACTTAAACTCAGCATCCAGCCATGTAAGTGAAGGCCATGAGCTTTTTTCCTTAAAGATAGTTTTAAGATAGACATTCAATTTTATATTGCATGTTTGAGAAGATACCTAATCTCATACTTGACAATGGATGAAGCTCCGTGAAAGACCATTTAGTTTCAAGGGTGTGATATGATTGCTGTACATGTGTTAGGGAGGAAGAATACACCTATTTTATAATACTTTGAATTATCCAAGTATAAAGGGCAGCCTGATTTAAATGTACAACTTAGTTGAATTCAGCAACCTAAATGCTTGTAGTTGGGCAGAAGTCCCTGGCGTGGAGGAGGGATTGAAACTAGATGAGCTTTAAGGTCCCTTCCAACACAAATTATTCTGTGATTGATTCTATGAATGTATATTGCATTATGCCCAAGTCTTTGCTGAATTCAGGATTAAAGCTGACTATCTGAAGTTGAATTTCACTATTGTGTAGAGAAAAATTCCCATGTTTAGAAAACTAAACTACTCTGTGTAGTGATATAAAGTACATAGGAGACCACTATGCAAAAATAGCTGAAAGTGTGACATGACTGTGGTGTGGGTGGGAAGGATTGTAAAAATATAGGAAGTAAGCATTATTTTTAAAATTATATTTGGGGAAAAAAAATGGAAGTAATAACATTATGAAATAATTTGAAAGAGATCATGACTCAAACCTGGACTCACAAGAACTGGAAAACTTTCTATTAAGATAGTAAGAAATGTGCAGGCAGGCAAAAACTATGTTTTATTTGCCATAAGATCTATATAAAAGGGAAGAGAGGAATATTCAATACCTCTCCAGTAGTCATTGTTCCATTTCAAAGAATTTTGTCATTGCAGAGCAGTAGAGTGGTCCTATAGAGTGGTCCATGTATCATGTCAGTGTGTTTTTGCACAGGAGCACTAGGCTGACCCACAAGCACAGATGATGGCAGGACACAGTGCAGATATGTGCATGTTCACCTTTTCTTAAAAAATAATCAGAGCACTGTTTGCAAACTGTGTGAATTGAAAAGCTGAGCTGCAGGGCACTTTTTTCCTATTAGAAGACCCTATGAGGTAGTGCAGGTTTTGTAACATATTTACTTTCCAGAAGCTTGAATCAAACATGGTTTAGAGTGCAGGAAAAGTTATTTGGCCTTTTTAGATGGCGGTGAGAACGAGTTCACTGTGTTTATCAATCAGAATAATTTATTGTCAGCAAGCCTCAGCATCCATTTATTTTCATGCTATCCCTTTCAGTTCTGCAGGAGAAACTACTCATATGCACGGTTTGTACCTTTACCCTTCTGGAATACTTAAGTGCCTAAATTAGATTAAATGCCCTAAGAACTCCTTGAAGCTGCTGAAAGAGAGGCTGAATGTACTAAACAAGTCAAGGAAAAGAATTCCTTTCCTTCACAACGTGCTTGGATCACTGGTACCAGGGTGCTCAAAAGTGTAGCCATATACAGTACATTATAGTGTGTGGATATATGGTAGCTATTGTTCAGCTGCTATTCCCATGACAATCAGATTTAGGTGCTAGAAAAATCTCACCATTCGGCGAAAGAGGGACGTGAAACAGTGATATATATGCTTTGACAATTTTATTTTATTATGTAAGATATTAAACACTGTCAAGGATACATTTTTAAGACTTCACAAACCTGAACCTTAATTGCAACTTCTATCCTAATGTCATATGACTCCAAAGTCTGCTGCTTTTAAATACTAGCTGCTCAAAATGAGTAATTTGGATGGCAAAATGTTTAATCTATTTAGTCACCATAAATGTCAACTGTAGGATTAAAGGATTTAAATGGTCATGTTTTTAAACCTAAAGCTTAAGTACTTTAAACTTACCTTCTGAAGCAGTGGAAGGCTAGATATGTAAGACCATTTTTGACCTTCCACTACCTATGCTTTATTGATCAGCTGATTTTGACTCTCAGGTAGGCCAGTGATTCTCAATAGAACTGAATTAGCTTATTTTGCACGTTACT